AACGTCCTTGCAGACAGCCAATTCTCTCACATCAGAAGCAACTTGCAGTTTCTCAAGTCGCTCCTGACACAACAAAAAAAGAAAGAAAGAAAAAGCTTCTGGTCAAAGGACATTTAATAAAATGCCAAGTTTTTAAACTTTGTGTTTATAAAATACATTTTCAACTGTACCCTTTGTTTGCATCTGATACAATAAATAAGTAACTCTTCCAGGAGTGGATTTCCTTTCAATGGGGGAAATTCCTCTCACTTCCTGTTGTCTCTTCCTTTTCTTAACTAGGAGTCATTTATAAGTTGGATGTTTGTAACTTGGGGACTGCCTGTATTTGCAACCCGCAGTGCACATTTTGCGAGTGCCATCTTGCAGCCCAGGGGACTTTGGCAGGCAAGTCCTGGGTGATTTAGTGAACCTGTGCCAACAAACGCCTTGCCCGTCATGTGACCCAGCAGACAAGGTGGTGGCAGGACACCGAGGCGCCCAAAAGTGTGAAAGTGCAAGTGAGGGTAATTGGCAGTGATGGCAGTGCGTATGAATAAGCAAATATTCTCACTAAGAGGTGAGGAAACATCACCGCAAGGCAGAGAGAGGTTTTGGCACTGCCAGAAAGATTTCTCAAAGTGCTGTGAGCCTTCATGGCAGGCTTCTCACCTCCGCAGCAGACGATGCGCCTCGGCCTGGCCTCCCCCAACAGATGCCTTAGGGTCCTGTCCCTCCAGCCAAGACCCATTGGAAGCTCAGAGGGGCACAAGGCAGCTGCATCCAGGAATGGCTGTGGGGCAAACAGATGCAACGCTCCAGGCCTTGGCTGCCTCCTCTCCCTCTTCTGCGTCCAAGGCCTGCCATCCTGTTGGTTTGCCCTGAGTCTGCTCTTTCTCACTTCCCTCTTGTCTCCTTCTCACGAAAAGGCTCAACACTTCTGCAGCAAATCAGGACAGACAGTTGCAAACAAGAGAGGATCTGTCAGTTTGCTCTTAAGTTGAATGTGTATGTAAGTCGGAACAGGGACATTTTAATGTGTAACTCCAGCCAAATGTTTTGATATGGCATAGGGAAGAGTTAACACCCCTGTGATGTTTCCTTTGTGGTCGGGGCCCCTGATCAGAAGATTTCCTTTCACTTTCTGCAAAATTGCAAAAATTGCAATTTGCAAAAATGGACTTGTGCAAACAAGGATTGGCGATAAAGTTTCAGTGGAGACCCCTTTCCCCCATGATAATAACTCTTCCAGGAGTAGTTTTCCCTTCCAAGGGGTAGATTTCCCTCACTTACTGTTGTCTCACCACTTCATCATATTTACTAAATTCCACTGAGAGCTACATTTAAAATCTCGGAAGCCACTCTTGTCGTCACATTAGTTTGGCTTCAAGTGTAGGATAGAGGATTC